TATGTTTAAAAGTTTCAAGCAAAACTGTTTTTAAAGAGAATTTTCAAATCTGCTGCATTAATTAATCTGTTGAAAGTTTGTTTTAATCTGTTGAAATAGTCGTTATAATCTATTAAAAGTCCTTTCAACCCATTAATGCGTTCTTGTTTCTTTAACATAATGGTTTTAGTTGATACAACCATGTTTATATCAGCTTAAAACATTTTACGGACATTTTCGAGAGTGATTCAATCGATTGATTCGCATTTTAATCGATTGATTTGCTTAAAAACCTTGTTATAAAACTTTCCTAAGTTATTTTAGGCGATATAAAGTCGTTTTAATCGATTGAAAATCTGTACATAACTTTTCAAGTCTTTTTAATCGATTGAAAGTTCGTTTTAATCGATTGAAATTAGTCTGATCGGTCATAATTCAATTTTGATCGATCATAACCAACTTTGATCGGTCATAATATAATTCTGATCGATCATCCGGACTTCCAAAGTGGTTTTAATCGATTAAAACGTGTTTTAATCGATTAAAATAAATCTGATTGCTCATTTTTAAAGTCTGATCGATTATATTTCATTCTGACCTGTCATATTCGAATTCTAATCGGTCTTAAAAGGGTTTTAATCGATTAAAAGAAGTTTGTATCGATTAAAATACTCGTAAAAACACTTCTTTACGTATTCTAAGTGATTTTAATTGTTTCTTTTAAAACTATATCAGTTAAAAACATTGTTAAGAAAGTTCTTTGTCAAAATGCTTTTGTTTGATTTGTTTAAAACTATTTTTGAGGCATTTTGCAAATTGAGTGAAGGAGCTTCATGCAGTGGAAAAAGGTAAAGTGGAAAAAGGTAAAGTGTTTAAAACTATTTTTGAGGCATGTTGCAGAGTTGACCTTTTTATCTTTGACTTCATCAAATCACTGAGATCTTTGCTAGTATCACTTTCATACATTATGATTATCTTTGCTAGCCCTCACATCTTCGTCTCTCCCAGTTGTTCATGTTCTTGAATGAAGGTGATTGAATGATATGAACTGGAGGACTTGATCTGCAAAAGATGGATAACATTATAATTATTTGTTTGAAGAGCATTAGTGTGCATAGATTTATAATTTTAGTAATCTTTCCTTTAATTATTATTCTATTTTCACTGTATTTTATATTTGTTTTAAATAATAATGTACAATTATATTATTAGTTTTCATAATTATTTCTTATTATCAAGTAAATATTAATTATTATTTTATATTTTATAATTATTTAATTATTAGTAAAATTTATTTTTTAATATGTCAACATTATTTGAATATGGATATGCAATGTACATAATTTTGTAATTGTTTATTTATATAATTTTTAATAACTATCTAAAAAAAGTTAATTTTTTAAATTTGTTTCCAATTACAAACACTTTTAAATTTGTTTTTTCTTTTAAATATATAATCAATGTTAAAATATGGATAATTAATTAAAAAATTATATTTATAATCATTTGAACCTTATTTTATACAAAGAGTAAAATGGTAATTGTTTTAAATAATCAATTAAAATTATAATTTTTATATCTCATATCAATCAAATCATTCACAATTTCCCATAAACTTTCCTTTCACTTTCCATTCATCCAAACAACTTTAACTTTCTCTTCAAATCCCTCATTTTCCACTCTCTCATTTCCACTCTCTCAAATCACTCCAACCAAACAAACCCTAAGTGAAAATATATGTATAGAATAAAAAATACTTATAATAATAATAAAAATATTAATTTTTTAAAAAGATTTTGTTAACCGATGAAAAATGGTTTGCAATACTTGTGGTGGTTTGGGAAAGATGGAAAGTAGTATGAAAACAGCAACTTTTATGTCCCTCAAGTTTGAATTTTGACTGGGATCGGATGTCGATAAATATGATTATTCAAGGAAATATAATAAGAGCAGCAGAAAAACAGGGTTTAGGTGTTATATATATATATATAATCAAAATTTAAAAATAAAAAGCTTTCGTTTTCTCACATTTAAAATATGACATGACACATAATAATTCAAGTTGATAAAGTAAAAATATTGGTAATACTCAGTAAGTAAATATAATAATATAATCTTAAATTATGTTACATTAATTACTATATCTACTCTGAGAATTTAATATTGTTCAATTAATAGAAACTTAATTAAATTATTAAAATTTAATGTTAATTTATTATTATAATAATTAACTACAAGAAGAAAGGAGAAAAATTATAGTATACTTAAATAATAAACACAATTATATCTTAAAATTTATTATCGAAACTATTTGATAAAAAAATTAAATAAGATAGTTATATTTTTTTATAAAACACATTCATAATAATGAGAAGAAAATCCATGCTAATATTGTAGAACTGAAGAATAAGAGCGAAGAAGAATTAGAAAAAGTAAAAAAAATACATAAATAAATATATATATATATATATATATATATATATATATATATATATATATATATATATATATAAACACAAAATTGAGATTTCAAGAAATATTAAAATTAGTTAAAGAAGATATCACTTCAGGAAACTCTCTCCTTAATCATCTTTAATGTAAGAAGAAAGGTCTCTCATATCTTCTAGATAATATGATCAAAGAGATGGAAAAGTTAAATTAAGTCTCCTACCTAAACTTAAGTTATATTCCTAACTCATCCACACAATCATTTAACATTCACATTTAGTCTAATCATGAGTTTAACAATTCTTTCACACCTAATATCATGGTAGCGATATTACCCTCACAATAAAAAAACTCTCACCATAGAGTAATTAATTAATGGAGTCCCTAATCTAAATAAATATATCTAGACATATTTAATATCTGCTAGTATTTATTAACATAATGATAATTTTTTTAAATATTTTTATTATATTAATTGTTCTCATCTTATCCTATCATTGTTAGAATTAGAAATTAAGTCTAAATATGTGTCTTTATTGAATTTTGGATTTTTCTACCTTCAATCCATTCACATTCTATTTTATTTCTAAAAAAAATATATTTATAATAAATTAATTATAATACTTTTATATATTTTTTATACATAAATAAATATTTATAATTTATAATTATAATTATTGTTAATTTAGTATATATTTTTATTTATATATTTATATTAATATATATAATATTTAATTATTTTTTCTTTATATAAATATAAAATTCTTATAATAATAATAATAATAATATTATAATATTGTATTCAAATATTTAATTTTATATATATATATATAAGTAAATTATTTTTAAGTTATTATTTTTAAATATTAATAAATATAAAATATATAGATTATAAACAAAATTAATAAATTTATTTTTATTTAATTATTTTGAAGTAATAAAAAATTTAATTGTCAATTATTTTTAATTATTTAAAATAAAATTATTTTATTAAAATAAAATTTAATATATGACAGAAGTAATAAAATTTAAAAAAGTAACATAATAAATCTAATAAAAATAAATTAAAAATAAAATAATATTAATTATTATTAAGAATGATATAAATTATTTAAAAAAAATATTTTTTTATTAATAAATTGGTTAAAAAATCAGAATGTGAAAGGTTAAAAAAATATGAAATATTGAAAGATAAGAAAAAAAAATTAATAGAACAAACAAATTAATTTAAAAGATAAAAGAATGAGAAATTAATAGAAGAAAAATAAAGATAATAAAATATAAAAAATAATCAAAGATTTTTTTTAAATATTAAAATTTAAAAATTTTAAATTTAAAAATATAAATATAAAATCAAATAAAAATAAAGACGGTGTCCGATTGAAAATTGCTTTAGTCTTCCCATCCTCGCTCTTATCCTAACCCTCAAATTTTTGAAAGAAATTCCATCAATTCAATTTTTTCCTGTAAACTCGAAACTGAGTCGAACAATGACATGCCTACTTGAAACCATTAATTTATTTCAACTTATCTATCATAAAGTGGTAGATAGCGATTTCTTTCTACGAAAAAAATATCAACAATTATATGTGACAAGTAAATAAAACATAAACCATTTAAAAGGCTATTTGGATTTATCGCTATAATATGTCATTTACTCCATTCCCAACAACGTACGAAACACGAAATTAATAGACAATCACCTGTACAAACAAAAAAGAAGAAATAGATGACAATAGAGAAAACTTTCACATTTTATACACAATTATAAATTGTACAGATAATCGATTTTATTATCTAAAATTTTAGTTTAAATATACATTCTTATATTACAATCTATAATTACGAATAATAAATAATATTAAACAACTTCTTATATAATAATAACATCATAGTTTTTCTATTTTTTATAAATTAGACAAATATATTTCCTTTTTTTATTTTTCTTTTCTGCTATCTCTTTTCCACAGTACCGACCGAAGGAAACACTAAGGATCGTCACATTTCACTCCCCCTAAGTGTGAAAGGCCCGAGTCTCGAATATTCTGTTTTCGTGTTGTGTCTATAAATGAATCACTTTGATCCTGGTACTGTGTTTCTCGTCAATCAAAGCCTTAGCCTATGCTATTTTGTATGCTCTCTCCGCGTCGGGTATACAAATTCAGTTTCCAACGTTCTCTCTTGTTATTCTTAATTGTTTTTGTGTGGTCTTTGTATCATAATCCTGTTCATACGTAGACAATCGCTATAGATGTTCTTGATTTGAATTTTGTTGTGCAAACTCTGTTTGGATTAATTGAAAAATGATATTTTGAAAACCCAAATTCATATAACTCTTATAAATAACTTTCTTTTAATATTATAATAATAATTTTAATTTATTTTTATTTTTATTAAATCATTGAGATTCTTAGAGGACGACCACCCATTTTTGTCTACATCTAAATTTCTCTTATTTCTGATTGCATAATTATACTGTCTTGTATATGAATTTCTTTCAAATCTGCATCTGTTTAAATTCTTCTTATCAATGGATAGTTAGATACTGATAAAGGTATTGTTAACAGATCAAAATGGATTTGCTTTTGCCGTTGACAATACTTGTGCTGATGTTAGACACACCTTGTGGTGCTTTTGGGAAGATGGGAAGTAATGTGAAAACAGCCGTTTTTTTGTCCCCCAAGTTTGAACTTGAACCGGGATCTGTTGCCAATAAATTTGATTATGGTGTTGATTTTCCTAGAGGTCATATAGCACTTAAGAGTTTCAATGCTGAAGTAGTTGATGAATTAGGGAACCCAGTGCCTCTCCATGAAACTTATCTACATCACTGGGTTGTTGCAAGATATTATCAAGCTAAAAACGTGACAACACACGCTGGGTATGATGGCCATAGGGTGCTTCATCAATCGGACTATATAATGCTGAGGAACAGTGGAATATGCCAGAGAAATGCGCTGGGACAATACTTTGGTCTTGGGTCTGAAACACGTGGAACAGCTACGGATGTTCCTGATCCTTTTGGGATAGTTGTAGGTGATCCTGCAGAAATTCCAGATGGGTATGAGGAGCAATGGTTGCTCAATATCCATGCTATTGATACACGTGGTGTAGTGGATAAAATGGGGTGCACTGAGTGTAGGTGTGACCTTTACAATGTTACAAAGGATGAAAATGGGGAGCCTATACGGTCAGATTATAAAGGAGGTTTGTTATGCTGCTATGATGAAACCCAGTGCAAGGTTAGGGAAGGTTTTGAGGGCCTAAAGAGGAGTCTCTACCTAAGATACACAGTAAAGTGGGTTGATTGGGACGAGTTTATAGTCCCTGTTAAGATTTATATACTTGATGTGACTGATACTGTTAAAATACCAGATGACTCATCAGGAGTCCTTGAGCATGATTGCCGAGTAAGTGAATTCACCAAGAAACATTTTGATTGTCTCAATTTGAATTTCATAAAACATATACTACTCCGTATTACTTTGTTGGGTACAACTGAAAAACAAAAATCTCTTTGTTACAGACCGAGTACGAGGTTGAATCCTTCAGCTCTGATAAGAAGGATGGTAACGACTACCTTCATGTGAAGAGAACAAGTGTCCCAATGCAAAAGGGTGGTTATGTAATCTATGGTGTTGCTCATCAGCATTCAGGTGGTACTGGATCAACTCTATATGGAAAGGTAATGACTCTGCCGCCTAAATTTAAAGGGATTACAAGGTCAATCCTCTTTTTCTTTTGCAGTCTTTTCATGTTATAGTTTCCAACTGATGATGACAAAAAGTTTAATTTGCAAGAACATTCTGAACAATGGAAATTTAGTAGTAGTTGAACGGTTGCATCTTTTTGTTTACATTGGTATACAATTGAAGTTTAAATATTGTAGTTTAATTACTTGTTTTGTGAAACTTTTTGCATGACATTTCCAGGATGGAAGGGTAATATGTTCTTCAATACCCAAATATGGAAAGGGAAAAGATGCAGGAAATGAGGAGAACTACATTGTAGGAATGTCCACATGTTATCCTAGACCAGGTTCTGTAAAGATAATCGATGGTGAAACTCTAACTCTAGAGTCTAACTACAGCAACAGTCGTGGCCACACTGGAGTAATGGGGCTTTTCTACCTGTTGGTGGCAGAACAACTTCCACACCAACACTTCAGACATGCTTCTCGTTCTTCATTCTTCACGAATATTAATAGTTTATTTGAGTAGTAGTTAAGTAGTGAAATACAAATATAGGGACGAAGCGCATATTTTCATTTTGAGGAATGTAGCAATGTAGAAATGGGATCATCAATCATTTGTGTTGGTGATAATGTGTTGATTGCCATAAATCAGTCTTATCTAGCTATGTGATGCGCAGAATGTTTCTTGTACACAAAATGGTCTCTCCTTGGAGGTTGTTTTGCCTTCAATATTAGAGAAATAAGTAATATTGGGTTTGGACATAATTTTTTACCATTTTTAGGAAATTTAAATATATTAAATTTAAATTGATTTTATTTTAAATTTTTTATTGGATTTTTTTCTCTCACTTGTTTATTTGCTGTCTCTTTTTCTTTTATTTCTACCAATCACACTTTTTTTGTTATTAAATTAAAAGGCTGAAGAAGGAAGATTTTATTTTTCAATTTAGAAGTGATGATGACAAGGAGCTTACGTTCGGAAATATCTGGAAGTTGTTTCGTCTCAAATATTTGTAGTTCTAAATGTAGCCACGTTTCACCAAGAAATAAATATTTATATATTAAAATTAAAATAAAATATATTATAATTAAAAATATTGTAATTTTTTTATTATATTAAATATATTAAAATATTATAATTTAAATTATAAAAATTAATTAATTTAAAATATTAATTATAATTAATAAATTAATATATAAATATAATAATTTTTTATCTTATCTGATAAAAATACTAATTGATAAATAAAAATTTTAAAATTTTCAATTAAAAGTATATTTAAAATATATATATATATATATATATATATATATAATTCTTTAATTAAACTTTTTTTATAAGTGGCAAAATGTTGAAATAATATCTTATATTTTAAATTAAAAAGAATTAAAAAAAATGTATGGTATGTATTAATACAACCATCTAATAAAAAATTATTGATAGTTAAAAACTTTTATACTAAACAACAAAGTTCATTCCTCATTTTAGAAAAAGAAAGGATAATCATCTTATCTTTGATTCAAGCCTTTATGAGAAAGGTTCTTATCACATTGAATGTCTCATAAATGCTCAACCACCTGCTTTTTCATTTGGTGTCATTGTTCTCAAGAAAACAATATTCATTTATTGAAATGTTTGAATCATTATTATTTTAAAAACATTAATTTATTTCAACATGTTATCATATATTGTTAAATATATCTATTTTTTAATCATATTATATTACTCTCAATTGAAGAGTTGATATCTTCAATGAAATATTTTCTCTCTCCTAAAATCTTAACTCTACTGAATCAAAAGCAACTAAAATAATATCTTTAAAATAATAAATTTGATAAAGAATGAAAAAAAAAACTATTTTTCATTATATTATAATGAGTAAAAATAAAGACACTAAAACGATTGCATGTCCATATTATATAATTAATTTCTAAAAATATTATTTTAATTTTTAAATATATTCATTTTTCTCTTTTTCATAATTTTACTATTTTTTAAATATAAAAATCATAATAATTACTTTTAAAAATTATAACATTTTTATTGTTTTTTTATGATAAAAAAATTACAAAAGAAATCTCCATTATATCTAATTATAAATAATAAGCCATAACTTATAATATTTATAAAAAAATATTTAAATATGTATAATTGTTAACAAATTTTAAACTTTTAACGTAATTACAAATTGCAGTTTCATTCTCTTTTTTTTTTAAATATTATCTTGATTCTATATCTTATAAATTGTGTCCATTTGAAACTTTTAAAAAGTTTTTTTTTTTAAGGAAATTTTTGAATTATTTTATTTGTTTATTCGAAGACATAGAGTCATTTATATGAAAGATTCGGAATCCGATGATGTTGAAACAATAATGATCATAATGGGTGGCATCTAATTTTGAATTATTTTGTTGTCTGTGATAATATTTTTTTTAACGTTAAATTTGGTTCTATAATGGTCTTCTTTGTATACTAACACAATAATAATATACTTGATTTTAAATAAATACTTAGAATATTTTATAAAATTATATAATGGTTAATTGTTAAGTTTTGAACAATTAAAAAAACAAATAATCAATTTTTATATTTTTAATAAATTAAAATTTAATAATTTGATATATAATATTTAAAATTTCCGTTATTTATTTTCGTTAGGACACGTTTTTGTGATCTTTTATCGTGTTTGTGTTAGTCATTATTGAGACAGGAAAATTTAATGCGTGTAACAATTAAGTGAAAATATATATGAAGTAATAATCTAATTTTATTGATATAGTTATGATAAGTGAAAAATATAACCATTAAAGCGTTTATATAATCAATTTTTTTATAATTAAATTTTTAAATATTTTATTTTATTTTTTCTTATCATTTATTAAATATAATTTTTTTATTAATTGTGTATCATATTTGTTTCTTATATATTTACTATTTTTAAATCAATAAATTATAATAATTATTTTTTTGAAATTATAATTTTTTATTTTTATTATATAAAAAAAACTTTTAGAAAATAATTTTTTATTATATAGCTATCTATTTTAATAAAATGAATTTTACATTTCATTTCTAATTATTAATATATCATTATGTCTAAGAAAAAATTGGTATGGTTGAGACAAAATTTGAAAAGACTTAGATATTTTTATCTTTTAAATTACTTCATGGTATTTAATTAGATTGAAATTCATTTATTCATATAATATTATATTCTCATAAGTTCATAAACACTGTTATTTATCATATTGACATAACAAATTCAATACTGAAAAATATCTCAAATGTCACAGATTAAATTTCAATATATAAATAATAAAAAAAATGTTGGATCTTACTAATTGATTATGAAGACTAAAATTTAATTTAAACTCTCCTTCTAAATATCAAGTGTCTTTATGGAAGAAATCTCTCTCTCTCTCTCTCTCTCTCTCTATATATATATATATATATATATATATATATATATATAAACATAAATTTAGATGGTAAATTTCAAGAAATTGGAGTTTGGTTTTTATCAATAATATGAGTATGTTGAAAAAAAAAAAAATCTGATATTCGAGTATATGTTTTCGTTTGTTTATTTTGTATGGGCTGTTATTGGCTGGAATCTCATTTGCAGCCCACATTATGTTAGTTGGGCCACCATCGTGTGCCTTCAAGTGGGTCTTACATCCTATGAAATTGTTATTTGTATAACAAATATTATAATAAAAAATACGAAATGAAATATTAAGGATGGAAGAGATGGATAAAAGTAGGTATGCATAATAGAAATCTTATTTCTCAAAATTTGTGGTTTGGTAAAACCCAAATTTGTCACAGTATAATGCAGTTTCATTATCAATGTCATACGATAAATATTTATTCTTAACTAATTTTTAACCATTTAAATAAGTGTCAATTTTTTTTCAATTCCCAATAAGTATATATATATATATATATATATATATATATATATATATATATATATATACCATTATTAAGAGCATTTTTAATTATTGTTTAATCAAAATGTAGATCATCATAAAAATTGTAAGTTAGCAACCTTTTATTTTTAAATAACAACTTATAAATATATTCCTTGTTATAGATTTTTATGTTTTAAGATTTGTAGGAAGATCTCTATTGTTATAGTAGGTATTTATGATGGATTACACACTAAGATTTTTTAAATGAAATACGAATAATATATTATTATTTTTAACTTAAAATCTTAAGACAATAAATTATAAGTTTTTTCATTTATAAATCATACAACTTTTTTATTTTTATTTAACGTGAGATTTCAACTCATACTTGAATTTTCAACCATATTTTCCTCAAACGTGATTCACTCTCACATTGGTTCACCTCTTCCTCAAAAGGAAATATCTCTTAACACGAGTACTCAATAATAACCTTATTTGTTCGGTTTGACGAACAATATTTATTTGTCTCAAATCCTTGTCAAGAAGACTTTTAATATAAAGATTCAAAATTTTGGATTTGTTACCTACTTTAATCTCAATTAAGTTAACTTTAACACTATTGTTGGATATTTTCGAGAGGACTAACATTGAAAGATTCTTACGAATGGAAGATAACTTAGTGAATGGTGATTTATTACTTATCGAAGAAGATGATAATTGATTTATAAGATGAATTACAGTGGATAAGACTTCAACCAAAACCGTGATGACACATGTGATCCTAATAAAAGAGTTTGAACAACATCAAACAAATGAATTTTTTTTTGTTTAGCTACCTTATTTTGTCGAGGGATTGAAAGGAATGACCTTTAAAATGTAATACCATTTGATTGTAAAAATGATTGAAATTGTTTTAATGCATATTCTCCCTCATTATCAAAATATAGGATCTTTTGGATGAGAATTGAGTTTGAAAATTACGAAGCAAAACTTAGAAAGTGGAAAATATTGGTTGATGTGTTGGAAAAGATAAAATTTTAGTTTTTCAATCTTTAAGGAATGTAATTAAAATTAATAACATTAAAAAAAAACTACGTTTATTAACAGAGAACTTATATTTTAGCATTATAAGGAATATGTTTGCACTAGGGTGTCCAAGATGCTTATATCCCACTTGAGACTCAATAATAATATAATTAAAAATAATTAAAGGCAAAAAAAATACTAGAAGACAAATGCAAATTTATAGAAAAAAGGGCGTTCAACTTTAAGTCTCTTTGTAATTATCTTTCGAGGGTGTTGATGTTACACAAGACAATCAGAATGGGAAAATTGTACTTGATTATTATTGTCAACTAATTGATAAACAAAAATAAGATTAATATTAAGACTATGAAAAACAAAACATTGTCCAGAGATGAAAAAATATCACTGATTATGGTGATAAGTAATTGATTTCCATTAGTAATATGAATATTGAGATTTCCATAATAGTTTTCAATATTATTGAGAATTTAGACATTATTGGTCATGTGATTGGAAACCCAAAATTAAAATACTAAGGTGAAGATGTACCACGTACAAGTCTTATAACAAAAAATATGGAAGTGA